GATGCTGTAGGGTTTGCAGACAAACAGGCTGGTGACTTCCCCTGTGTGCCCATATAGATGAACCTGAGACTCCACCTCTATCTCTGAAGGCTGGGGAAAAAAAAAACAATAACAAAAGCATGATAGCAGGTCACATTTCATCTGTAACTCAGCTCAGGATCAGGCACTCATGTGGAGCTTTAGCTCTGCTCTAAAAAAGAACTCCATTAATCAGAATTCAACAAGGCTCTGCATGTGAGCTTCGGCTCAAAAGCCCTTCAGACACAAAGAAGCAGGAAATCTCCACATAGTATCAGGCGCTGATGCATGTCTGAAGGCCCCTCTGATGACGGGACTCCAGATCCTCTAATACCACTTCTAAACTCGGTGGAAATGTGTTTCAAGGACAGCTGTGATGTGACTAATGAAGCTGAGCGTTTCAGCATGGCTGTCTAAAGAGAGAGGGGGAGGAGGGGGGGAACGGGTGAGTGGGCGGCTGTAATGGGCGTTCGCGCGGAGGAGGAAGGTTAGTGGGGAGCATCGCCATGGAAACCTACTGTGGTGCTGGTGAAGCGGTTGCTGTAGGCGGTGATGACTCCACACTTGCTACCCGTAAATAGCTGGCAGCCATCGGGCACCCAGGCACAGCTGGTCACCTGGAGGAGAAGGACGACATTTGGACAGGAAGTGAGAAACCTCCGAGGGTGTTGGCTCGTCCGCAGCGTAAAATCAGACTCAGAGGAAGGTAGACGCTACACTGGCTTTGGTTCGTTACAAACCAAACACCAAGATTTATGTTTTAATAAATACTACTAATTACTAACTACTACTGTGAACCATCTCTAACTATACTTTTAGTTCAACTCATTGATAAATGCATAAAGAGCCACAGTTGCATTTAGCTTTTATGTTTAAATTAGGTAAATATGCATTCCTTATATTTATAATACCCCTTTTTTATATGTCTCATTTTAATATTGAGCTTTAAAAAATATATTTTTTCAGATTTTTATGCTTATTATACTACTGAAGAGGGTTATGGCCACTAGGGAAAAAAAAAAGTTAACTGATTTTTAAATTTTATTTCAGTTTAATATGAGAAAAAAGTCAGAATTCTGTCTTTTTTTCTGAGAATTCAGACTTTGTTCTCAGAATTTTTTCTCAGAATCCAGACTTTAATCTCAGAATTCAGACTTTTTTTCTCAGAATTCAGACTTTTTTTCTCAGAATTCAGAATTTTTTTCTCAGAATTCAGAATTTTTTTTCTCAGAATTCAGACTTTTTTTCTCAGAATTCAGACTTTTTTTTCTCAAAATTTAGACTTTTTTCTCAGAATTTAGACTTTTTTCTCAGAATTTAGACTTTTTTCTCAGAATTTAGACTTTAATCTCAGAATTCAGACTTTAATCTCAGAATTCAGACTTTAATCTCAGAATTCAGACTTTAATCTCAGAATTCAGACTTTAATCTCAGAATTCAGACTTTTTTCTCAGAATTCTTTTTTCTCAAAATTCTGACTTTAATCT